CCACATACTGATCCATACAGCATGCTTAAGTAAAGCAAAGGAATTTAAATTATCCCATGCATACTATCAGATTATAGTGCAATAAAACTAGAAATCAACACCAAAAGACACCAAAGAAACTATGCAAACACATAGAAATTAAACAATGGCTTCTTGAATAATCAATGGTCACAGGTGAAATTAAAGAAGAAATTAGACGGTTCCTATGATCAAATGATAATACTAGTACAACATACAAGAACCTATGGGACAGAATGAAAGTACTCCTAAGAGGGAAGTGTATAGCGGTTAATTTCCACATCAGAAAAACAGAGCAAATAAGTAACCTAATATGCCCCTCAATATCCTAGAAAACCAAGAACATGCCAAGCCCAAAGCTAGTACAAAAAAGGGAATTGTAAAAATCAGAGCAGAAATCAATGAAATTGAGACTTAAAAAGCAATACAAAAAAATTAACAAATCAAAGAGTTGGTTCTTTGGATGATTAAACAAAATAGGCAAACCCTTATCCAACCTTATCATTATGGCTTGTATCTAGATGTCCTCCCAAGGATTCATGCCGCCACCTCAGAGCACTCCTAGCAAGGTGGAGACATTTGCTGGTTCAGAGCCCTTAGGAAAATCTCTGTACGGCCATTAGCTGACCACCAAGCTGATGGAACAGAGATTCCAAAAATACAGCTCCAGCCATCAGGGGCACTCAGTTAAGATGTTACAATGATGTGGCCCAGCTGCAACATTAGCAAAACCGAGTCCAAGGGGAAGAAATATTAAAATGGAAATTTTCTGTAAATGTGTTAATAAATTCAAGATAATTCCAATAAAATTTCCAGTGTTTTAACTTGTCAAAATGGTTCTAATGCAAAATAATATATTATTTACATTTATAAAATATTATTTATTATAAAATATTTATTACATTAAAAGATACACTGCCATTAATCCCACTCAAAATATTGTTCCTCACTTCAGACACATTTTCTCTTTCTGTTCTTATCACTTTCTGAAGCACTCTGGAGTCCTCTTTCATGAATGTCTTTAGTTGTGTTGTCTTCACCGCCCTTGATTCCCAAACCAATTCAAAACATTTACTTTTATTTAGGGCTTGGGATTTAGATCAGTGGTGCTGCACCTGCCTCACAAGGTGTTGAGCTCGATCCCTGGTTAATAATAATTTACTTTTAATGATCATTTTGACTTCAGGAAAGAGCCAGAAGTAACATGGCACCAGACCTGAAATGCTATTATGGGTCTGCTTTTCTGTTAGATGAGAGCAGCAGCATTCACTGTGATTCTGTCACACCCACTAGAGACAATCACAAAATAAGACTTCCAGAACTACTTTATAAAGTAGAAAGCATAATGGGATAAAAGTGTTCAAAGTAAGGGACAGTGTTTAAAGGGTGTTTAATGGCAATATGTCTTTTAATGTAATAATTTTTAATCTAAACATTCACTGTATGTCTCTACTACCTCTAAGCCACATTAAAACAACTTGGATACACCTAAAAAGCAACAGAAATGTAATACAGTGACAGGAAAAACTATAACAGTTATAACTATCAATGTAAAGTCTCTCAGTTGAATCAAGAATGGATCAAGAAACAAAAGTCCAATGGTTTGCTATAATCAAGAAGCACATTTAGCCCAAAATAAAACTTGTACATTAAAAATCAAAAGATAGAGGAATGGGGATTTGGGTCAGTGGTTCCACCGCCTGCCTCACAAGCACAAGGGCCTGAGTTTGATCCCCAGTACCACAAAAAAAAATCAAAAGATGGAAAACAATATTCCACACAGTAAGAGTCTGAAAACAGGCAAAAGTAGTTATCCTATTTTCAGATAAAGCAGTCCTTATGTCTAAGATAATCAAAAGAGACAAAGAAGGCATTACATATTTGTTAATGGAACAATTCACCAGGAAGAGATAATACCTGTAAACACATGTGCAAGTAATTATGGCATACCCAACTTCATTAAAGAAACACTAATGGAAATAAAAGATCAATACAATTATGCAGGGAACATCAATACCCTACTATCGCAAATAGATCAACTAAACAAAAAATCAACAAAGGAATATCAGAATTGAACCACCCTTTTGAGCAAATGGACTTAATACATGAGTGTTCCACCCAACAGCAGACTACACATTGTTTTCAGCAGTGCACGGTACTTTCTCCAAATGAGACTATGTACTAGCTAAAAAGTCTGCTTAAGTAAATGCAAAAGAATTGAAATTTCACCATACATATTACCAGATCACAGTACAGTGAAACTAGAAATGAGCGGCAAAAGAAATCACAAAAATTATGCCTACTTATGGAGATTAAACAATACTTAGCTGGGCGTGGTAGTGCACAACTATAATCCCAGCACTCAGGAGGCTGAGGCAGGAGGATCGCTGGGAGTTCGAGACCAGCCTGGGCTACATAGTGAGTTCCAGGTCAGACTCAACTACATAGTGAGACCCTGTCTCGAAAAACAAAAAAAACTCCTCTTGAAATCAATGGGTCTCAGAAGAAATTAAGAAAGAAGTAGATAATTCCTAGAATTGATAATGCTAGTACAACATACCAGAACTTATGGGACACAGTGAAAGCAGTCCTAAGAAGGAAATTGATAGCTATAAATGCTCACATCAGAAAAACAAAATCAGCCTAAATAAATAACCTAATGATGTACCTCAAGATTCTAGAAAAACAGCAATTAAAACTCAAGGCTAATACAAGGAAGAAAACTATAAAATCAGAGTAGAAATCAATGAAATGGAGACTAAAAAAGCAATACAAAGAATTAATGAAATGAAGAGGTAGCTCTTTGGAAAAAAAGTAGACAAACCCTGAGCCAATCTTACCAAAACAGGAGGGGAAAAGATGCAAATCAATGCAATTAGAAACAAAGAAAAGGTGAAATCCCAACAGTCATCACCAAAATCCATGCTGCAGGGCATGAATGCCTATCCCAGGGCTAACAGCCTTTCTGTTGGAGTTGTGGATCTCTTCTGGCCAGCAGAAGCTCCAGGCTGGGAGGATTGGAAGCTGGCTCAGAGAGGGCAGAAGAGAAAGTCTTGCCTCAGAGACAGAGCTCTCTTGATACGGGGATTCAGGACTCAGCACCCTGATGTGGTGATGTTCGAGGCTCCTGATGTCAAGGGCTGCTTGGGAGGCAGGGAACACCCCTTCCCAGTCCTACTGGGGCTCTGTCTAATGGTACAAATTTTTCAGGAAGAGGACTGTTGGTTCCATATCTTGGGCTGGACTTAGACCCTGTGCTGGTGACAAAGGCCCATTTTCCTGCGGAATGTCCCCAGTCTGCTCTACTTACTGAATCTAGCCTCCCAAGAGCAAAATACTGGAGGCAGCAGGTGCCCTACAGGGACCTCACTAAAGGATAAGTCATGATTTTTACTCCATGGACTTCTGCTCAACTTGTAAGTCCTGCATCAGCAGGAGGAGCAGAGCTACCATAATAATAATATAATATCTGAGATAATTATAAATAAAAAGGTGTCCCATTGCTTTGGACCTTTAGTGGGGGTTCTGGATGACAGTGGCTAGGAGCACATGCGAAAGCAAACTGTTCACCTCATGTCAAGGACAAAAAAAAAAAAAAAAAAAAAAA